TACAAAACATCTGTACATTTTAATTTTCTTACTGTTTCCATGAAAATATATCAACAACATTATTTTCATAACACTTAAAAATCGAAAGCAGAGCCATTTTTTATTTCTATAATTATTGACATAGTTTTTGAATGAATGATCTTTGAAAATTTTTTTATTAAATAAACCAACCACATAATTGTCTGAAATACTATATTTAATTTCATTAGATCAGCTGTCTTAAATTGTAAAATATGCAATTTGGCAGTTTTGGTTTATTTTGAAATGTCAAAGCAAATGTAAACATTTTGAGTATTCTCATTGCAGCCATGGTGACCGTAGTAATAATAGAGATCGATGTGGTGACCAATCAATATTTACTTTTAAAATCCTCACCTCAGAACTTTTAAAGCCAAAGGGGCAAAGCCCACGGTCAGTATTGAAGTGTGAATAGTCCTATAATGATCCTTGGTATGGTAACTATATTTTTGTAAAATTTAAGCCAGGCTGTTTCAGTAGTTTTCGCACCTATTAGTAATACACATACAGACAGACACCATTAGATTTTTATATAATAGTATAGATGTATACACTTTTATGTTGTATTTTAATTTATTAAAATTGCATATACGTGTGTTATACTTAGTAAAATTTTCATCAATAAAATAGCAACCGTAAGAAATTTGAGGTTAGATCTTTTTATGGTGGTTAGATTAAATCTAACGAATCTTGGAACCATTTGAACAATTTACAGTTTGTGGCATCAAAATGTTATGTTATTTACTAACATGAGGATATTCACACAGATGACCCAAAGAAAACATACATTTGACGTAACGTGACTGAACTTTCCATTAGGTAATGTGTGGTTGACATTCCGTGTTGAATGATTTTCAATTTCCATTAGTTCCGCTTTGGTGGGTTAACCAGTCACATTTTACATTTCATCGCCCACATAGGTAACGGTGTTTACGTTTGTGGTATAAGCTTGACAGTGATTTCTTAAGGTTAAATCCTATTTGTATTGTTAGTAATCAAATAATGGATGACAAGTGGTATTTTGTTTTATACACACTTATATAATTTTTACGGAGAACTTTTGCTGATAACTTGATTGAAAGATTGAGGAGTGGTATACGTTCTGTGAAATATGTGTTTAGGACTTAACGTAGTTGCATTTTTCCCCAAAAATCTATAAAGGTAATTGTTAAAAGTCATAGACGTATTGATGCATTTACATTCCAAAACCTCAAAGATTTATACACTTTTTAAATTTATCAATAGAATTTAAATTTAATTTACATTAAAATAGGTTAAGAAGAGTACTAACTTTGTCACAGAATATAGAAAATAGTATTTTGGATTAGAAATACAAGAGCTATTATTAATTCAATAATTTTACGTTATTTGGATAAATTGGGTTTTCAAAATAAAATATAAATATTCCCATAGCGTAGTAGAATCTATTTAACACTTACAGGAGGAAAATAATTAGGTTTAATACATAGTAACTAAGTCGTCGGCTACATATTTGAACTACCATATGGAATTGGATGATTTAATACACAGAGTGATCAACTCAAGGGGTCATATCGGGATCGGTCAGAAAACTTTAAACTAAGTTCATTCCTTCATTGTTTGTGGCAGTTAAAAATATGAATTTAGTTTTTCGCAATTCAGCTGCCATTTTCCAATATGGTGGCCATCTTTGAAATTTCTTGTGGAACCCTCTATATTTTATCATGTTTTTGGATAAAACATGCAACTTAAAAACTGGTCTTATTCTTGGCATTTTCTATAAAGCTACTCGTTTAAGAGTTATAGCCTAAAAAGTAGCTACCGGTGTACATTTTGCATCATGTAGCTCCTAAACGAGTAAGTACCAATAAACAGACAATTAAAAAATATCTTAAATGGATATTTTTGCATATGGTGATTTTACATTATGCTTTTTGTTTCAGTTTTTACAAATAATTGCAAATGATTTATAGTTAATAAAAGATGGTCGTTCGTCTTGAGACCAATAGTTCGCCAGGAACGTGTTACACATTACTTCAGGCTAGGGGTAGCGGCATTATCACTTAGATAAAATACATTGGTGATTTGGCAGGGTTAAAACAGCGAACACAGAATAAAAATTTTTATTCTGTGTTCGCTGGGTTAAAACCGCGCTCTACCAGTTTCCTGCCCAATAAAAAGCAAATTGTAAATTCCAAACTGACAAAACATTATTCAAAATATTTGTCATCATGTACTAAACACCCATGAATCACAAGGCAACAAATTATCTTGATATGATATTTAATATACCTTTTATTTCAAGTAATTATGATCGTGAGATTATAACAAACATGCAGAAGTCAATTCAACAAAAGTTTGGTCCTCAATAAAAGCACTTGGCAAACTCCTAAATGGAATGTAATTGAATCTAACAGCGTCATTATCTTCACAACAGTGCATTATCTGGATAAATATTCATTTTGATAAGTTTCCGTCGCTGAATATTATACATTCAAATAAATATTTAAATCCCTACTCTACCTTCCAATTTAGAGAGCGGTTAGCTTATTTTTCAGGAAGTAAACAGTTTGTGGATAAATAAGACTTCTTGCATACTAAGTTTAACTTTTTTATAGTAGAAAATTACAATAATCGATAGCAAAAGAAAATAGGCAAAATAAAATTATTCTTATTCTCTTAGTAAGCAAAAATCTTTGTTGTATAATCTTTATGGTAAAGATTGTTTATCTGTAAACTATAAGCAGGATATTTGTACTATCGATGACATAACATCCAACTTGCTCCTACTAGAGATGAGAAAGTCTTCAAATTCATTTTAAGTTTATTCGGTAATTCAGCTCAAACAAGTCTTTGCCCTCATCGTTTGGCAATGGGTTTAAAAATGGTTACATGGTTTAGTATTAATTAGTGGGACAAATTTATGGCTCTTCGATATACAATTATATTTAACATTATTGACATTCCTAAAAAAAACTCTACAAGCCAACATTAAAAACTTGTGATTTTTAAGCAAAGTGTTCCCTATTCAAATAATTTAAAGCCTACTTAAAAAATTATCACAATATGATAAACATAATATTGTATCAAGTAGTATTGAATTACATAACAAAATAATTAAGTTATGCAAATCCCTGAAGTTTCACAATGTATTTAAACGTATTTTATGTTCAAGTTAGTTGTTTACCATTGTATCTTTGGTTTATAGATTCGGTTCACTTTAAGATAACGAAAGTATAGGTGTATATTTTATCAAACATATATTTAACTTATACACAAGTAACTTTTGTTCTCATTAATGTACATTGACTTAAACATTTAATCCTTGACATGTCTTGTAGTGTCGAAAATTACCTTCTAAATGCTTCGGTGGTTCTCAACTCCACCATCGTCAGGCACACAAAATGACAAAAGGATCCACTTCTTGAGGTGTCGTCAGAATTGTTATAAACATTTAAAAAACACAAAACACGAATCGATTAAGTACAAACACATACAGGCCTATCAATTTACGCGCGTAAATTGACGCGGGCAGGACTAAAGTAGACTGAGTCTCAGAGAACTCAGGTAAGTGAGTCCTCCTTTGAAATTTATGATGGATAAATAGCGTTGTTATACTACACATATTATTATTAAATATTCAATATGATTGCCAAGACTGCGCTAGAAAGTGAATATCAACTCGATTGCATAACATGATATTCAATTTGTTGGAAACTGAGAACACATTATCATATTTTATTTTAGACTTGAAACGTGTTGATTAGTAAAGAAAACGCTTTTTTTAATTATTATAATGAATCAGTATTACTGATTATCGCACGAGTTTGAATCTGCTTAAGGGCAAACGACAATGAAACCCCTTAACAGTTCGACTTCTTTGATCAAAAGATACGAAAGATGGATTGTTTTTTTTTCAAATAGTTCCAGAGTATACCTTTTAAATATTGTAATAATTTTATATACGTTACTCGAAAAAATCCTGATGATTTGCTTCCAAGCTTTATTCTGAAATAAAGACATAGGTACGGATCTATAGTTAAGAAGGGTTTTAAAAGTATGTTGGAAAATAAGATGTAACGAGTGATACATAAAGAAAGTTTTTTTTTTTTAAAGCAGTTGACAACTATCGTGGCGTAGCTTCATATATAAAGAACAAAATGTGTGTTTCGTGTATACGATGTAATTTTACCCGAAGGAATATGTGGGTGAAAGCTAGTGATGAAAGATTTTCAATTTCCATTAGTTCCACTTCGGTGTTTTCTTGAGTCACATTTTACATTTCACACCCAAAAGAAACAGGGACGTTTATGTTTTAGACTTGGAAAATATGTTGTTAACATGTGGAAGATTTATATTTTTTGAGTATGTCACATTGAAGTTCACCTGAAAACTACTTGATCAATTGAGCTGAAATTTGGCTGGAATATAGCCAATATACTACAGGTAATCGGTATATTTTTATTTTAAAACAAACTAAGAGCTCCTCGCCTACTGACTTTTTAAAGTTTCCTCGTTATTTTGATAGTTATTTGTTAGTTGATTTTGTTATGTTTTATAAATAAGCCAGAATTTGTGATTATGTAATCTTAACTATACAGACTACTGAGAACTCCTCGAAAACAAATGTTGTTTAAACTAAAACTGAACTAAGCTTTGTATAAATGTGCAATATTATTTTGGCGAATAGTGTTAATAGTGAAAACGAAATGTTGTTGTGAATAGTGGTGTGGTGAAAAATAGCGTTCGTACCACGGACCGAAATGATTTTGCAGCTCTCGATCGTTTTAAAAAACTATCTCGAGCCGGCAAAACCTCATTTTCGGCCCTAGGTACGAAATATACTACTTCAAACCACTTTACGGAGTATGATTAACTCAGAATTGATTTTTGATAGTATAAGTAAGTAGTCAAACTGGGTTTGAGGTATTTTGTGATTCAACTACCAAGGAAGGTCCATTCCATTACGAGGGATGTTCGGGGAAAATAATTAACTAAGAAAATCAGTTACGATGATTTATATCACAATCGCAGTAGGGATTTGATTAGCTTGAACAGTTTTTTGTACCATGCTAGTCCTTTGATGTTCAACTCCTTTCCACTCTTCCAATCCTTTCGACACTTGACTTTCTCCGGTTTGCTTCTCTTTATGTAATATGATGCGTCAAAACTGTTACGTTGAACTTTAGAAATTTCCCTCGAGAAACATTGTCCATCTTTGTTTCTAAATACGATTGCAAAGTAATTCCTGCGGCGCGGCTTTTCCTCAGTCATCTTTCCAATGTATATCCCATCAGTTTTGGTTGAACAGGAGTCTAGAAACAGTCTGTCTACTATTATTTTCTGATACGTAATGAGTCCTGATGCCATGGTCCCACTTCGCTCTCCGTTCATGTCATATTCTCGGCACGTGAGCTTGAAATCTTGGCCGGGTTCATCGGTAAAAGAGGAAACGATAGGCTCATTGCGAGGGGAACCTTTGATAAAATCCCATATCTCATATAAACCATCCTCTGCTATATGCTCTATAACAAAACAACCACAGTCAAAACCATTTTTAAGTCAGTATAAAGCAAGATAAGAATTATAATTTAATTTTAGTTTTCAAGTAGCTCTGTCCCGCCCTCGATTGAAAAATCTGCTGAAATTGAGGAAAAATAAATTGGATATTTTTCTTACATCTAAAATCCTATAGATGTAGTTAGTTAGTTCAGGCAATGAAGACAAAACATACCAAATAGGGTAAAAAAGTTTTGTATAAGACAAATTTAGTACAGTTGTAGGGGAGGGGTCTCTGAAGGTCCCTTTTTAGTTTATAATAAATATCCCAAAAACTATGGCCTCCAGCAAAAGTTAGTTATAAATAAGAATGGATGTACGTAAAATATGTCTACAAAAAGCTCATACTCGCGAAAATACTATAACATGGTGTGGACCATTCGCTATAAAAACATTAACATATCAGGAATAGATAAACACCAAATCAAAATCAAAATAGGAAATAATATAAAGCTGTGGAAAGTACTTTATATGTAGTTTTACTAAAGGTATTTTTAAAATGTTTGTATATACTTACTAATACCACCAGTTGAACCTCCAGCAGCACCCTGCAAATAAAACAAATGCTTAAAGAACAGCTTTTTGTCCAAGGTAATATTTCTAAGGTAATCATGTTTGTCAAAATGTTTAAAGGACTATTATATTGTGTAAAGGAACATGTCAAAAGATAGATGTTGCAAAGTGAATTTCCATACGAATTTATTTAAATATTCCCTTCTTTCTATATAGGTATCGGCATCAATCTAAACTGTGATAGACAATTTCTAAAATAGGGTTTACACCTGAAATCGTGTACAATATAAGGCACAACTTCTTCAGTGGATGGATTTCGAAATTTAATATGCAAATACAGTTTGGTAGAAGTAAAACATTTCAAATACCTTACTCTTTCGGTATAGCCAGCAAATTGGATTTTTTTAGACAAATTTCAACGATATTACAAATTCTTGATGAAATAAATCTTTAACTTAATTTAGACAACTCTGAATTTATTATTATCCGATGGCTTCGTGTTGCTTTATTTTTGAAATTATATGTCATATTCAACTTACCGCCACAGAGCCTTCTTTGCATTCTATTTTGTATACACACAAATTTGAATACAATTATGAAGCCTAACTAGCTCGTTGGAAATTTCCTTCAGAAAAATATATTCTAAAACTAGTGGCCTGTAGGGGCCATAGCCCCTAATTTAGATTTTTTTTTTAAATTTAAACATTTTTGCCACCAAGACTGATATTCGAATAAATAATAGGTTGCGTACCTTGGTCCGTCTTCAGTCTTATTTTTAGTCAATGGATGACTAGTTTCGGGTACAAAGACCCATTGTCAAATCCTTTTTTAAAACATCATGTAGAAGCTAGTCAAAAAACCGACGGAAGTCTTCATCATTATATAAATACAAGTTGACACATAAAGTTTATTATTTAAAAAACACAAGTTACGAAACATATAAGATGATTGATAGGCCGGCCACATTTATCACGGCACAAACCGACACAGGTTACACGGCGGACACGACAGAACTGAAATTTGTGAAATTTTTACACCTGTCGTGAGTTCTGTCGAGTATCGGAAAAGTGTTTCAGTGTACAAGTGGGATTTGAAATTTGATGGAAGTCCACATCTGAGCCTCGGATCCTTCTTAGAGCGAGTGGAAGAGTTAAGAATTTCACGAGGCATATCCGAAAAAGAACTTCTCGAGTCAGCAGTTGACTTATTCTAAGGTTCTGCATTGGTATAGCATAGATCCAACAGAAAACGTATAAAATCATGGCAACAGATGAAAACCGAACTATGAGCTGTATTTCAGAATCCAGATTATGGCAATCTCCTCCTTAAAGAAATATTAAACCGAACTCAAAGCGAACATGGAAACATCGACTTATATTTGGCAGCTATGGATTGTATAGTCGCCTTACTGAAAAGATATCAGAGGAAAACAATTATCTCAAATACAAAAATCATACTAAAACATGTCTGATAGATGGCTTCGTGTAGCTTTATTTGTTAAATTATATGCCATATTCAACTTACCGTCGCAGAGCCTTCTTTACATTCTATTTTGGTTAGTAGATCCCTTTTCAAAATGGCCACGTAATCGAGGGTGATGATCTTGTAATTTCTTTTGTAGCACTTATGGTCTTCTTTTACGGAATATAGTTCATTAGCAAACCGGTACTCAATGTTAAATTCCAACTCGTCATATTCGCGACCGGCAGTCTTCATTTCGAATTTCCCCTCATCAAGAGAAATGTAATCTTTCACTTGTTTACAAACGTCTTTACTGTATTCCAGTATCAATTCATCAACCAAGAATCCTTCTTGGCTGTATAAGAACGCTTTAGCTACCATTTTTTTCTTTTCTTCCTTTTCTTCTTTTTCTTCCTTTTCTTCGCATTCAACAAGCAAATTTTTACTTTCGACTTTGGTCAATGGCAGATCATATTGCGTTGAATCTTTCCTCTGGTCCTTAGGCTTCATTTCCATATCTGGGTCCTGAACCAACCGCCCCTTAAATACCGGTATTTGATTATGGTGAGTGGTGAAAAGTACTGAAAAAGAAATATGCTGCTTAATGACAAAGAATTCTGAACAGCATCAGTTTTAGCATTGTTTAGTCTAAACCAGAGAAACCTGTTTCACCAAGATACTTGGCCATGCAACATCCGTATCAGTCACAGAGGATTTTTTTTAAATTTGTCGCAAAAATTGTTATTTCAAAGGCAGTTTTAAATTCTCTGATCAAATAAGCAGCTACATTCAGATTAACAATTCTGATATTAAAGGGGTGTTTTATTTTTAAGTTAAAAACGTATTGAATCAATGAGTTACGCCGGGAATTTAAACTATTCCATTGAACCTATAAGCCGAGAAGCGTTGATAAACTTTATTTTTTCCATTTATTTATTTATTTATACGGTAAACACCATTTTTACAATCAATAATACATGAGTGGCAAGTTACAAGATAAATATTTATAAATATATATAAGCCAGATTCAGAATTATCTTGCTAGATAAAAAGATTTAATTAGGTCTATGTGTACGTTAAAATGCTCAACAAATTTCATAATTACATTATTGGTTAAAAATGTAACACATACAAATAATTTAATAAAAAAACTAAATGGCAGCTATCTGGGTAAATATGCATTTTCGGACATAACTTCTTATGAATCTTTTTCTTCCTTTTAGTACGAGGATTCATTGCCTAAAGTTCAGAAACATTTTTTTTATGGACATCCTGTATAAGTAAATTGTATTATACAGGGTGTTCAAAACAGGTATGGATATAAGTTACCTATTGTTTCCTTGAGTTAAAAAATCAAGAACAACTTTTTACCAAACTCGCTTCGTTAACCAGATATACGCCATTTTGTATTTATTACATACACATTTTTATCTTTACAATTTGTCCACTGATCCTTATGAAACTTGTTATGTATGCTAAAGTAACAGAGCATGCTAAATGCTAGGCAAAAAATTCATCTCAATTAGATCAAAAATTAAAAAATGGAGGCTATTTTACGTTTTAAACTTACATTTCTAAAAGATGGCGGATTTGATTAAGAAAACGTTAAGAGTAATTTATTTAGAATTTTTAATTCCCTATCAAACTATACCAAGTTAAAAAAGATTGAATAAGAAATAGCTTAAATATTACGGGTTTTAGTTGTAAAATGGGGTAGAAAAAGGCTAAGCTAGTCAGGTTTGCCCTATTTTACAACTATAATCGTAATATTTCAGTTATTTCTTATTCGATCTTTTTGAGCTTGGTATCAGCCATTTGTTAGTAATTAAAGTTTAAAAGATTTAAATAGCCGTCATTTTAAAATTTTAATTTACATATTCTACATATTCCTACCCTCCTCAGCTGAGTTAAGTCCAACCTCCTTTTCAAGAAACCTAGGAAGGTAATTAATTGCTCTAAATTGAATATAGAAATAGTTATTTGTGTAACTAGTGGTGAAAGTGGCACTTTGCTGCACACGAGAGCAATGTTTACGCACGAGCCGCAGGCGAGTGCGCAATGATCTCGAGTGCAGCAAAGGCCTTTTTCACTCGTGTTACACATTATATTTTTCCTACAGTCACTATAAAGCATATAAATAATTAGTCATTCAAACACTATACAACACGTTTTTAGGTTCAGCTGGCAACACAAATGGTGCCCTAGAGAAAGTAGTACCCGCGGTCCGTATCACTCCGCTATTTTTCCGCAAGAAATGTGCTCCGCGTTTTGAGAATATAGTTCCGTATGTTTTTGTAATTTGAAGTGGTTTCCTTGCCTAAAAAATGCTTTAAAGGTATTTTTTTGTTTATTAAGATCGTAGGAATGTTTTAAAAACGTTTAAAAGAAAAGTCCAGAAATTCAGAAATACCGAAACTATAAACACGAAATGACGGGTTAAATCATAGTTATAATAGTCAATCAGCTGCTCATAGTATTATTATCTTTAAGTGATGCCAACCTATTTCCAAGCGTAAACGGATTACGTCCATAATCGAACCACGTTTTTTTGTGTTTTTTCGTTGGAATCCTGATGTGCGGCAAAGTATAAACCGTACGACAAAGTATAAACCGTACGGCAAAGTATAAATATGCAGCAATTAGCAGCTTTCTGTACTATAAACAGTACAAGGAAGCTAAGTTTGTCGGGTGACTGTAGGAAAAATAAATATTTTCATATTAGGCAAATGTACAAACGGACGAACTTCGGTCCTCGACAGGTATTCAATTATAAATTTGATATAGTTTACCGAAACAATTCATTGGAAAATTCCAAATCAAAACATATTTTTAACAAAACATACCGTGGCCATTAGTTTTTGCCTTTGCAGATATTCCAGCAGTAAGGATAAATAGAACCTGCAACCATATAAATCCTTTTCAGATTTATTTATACCAATAAAAAAATTGGATAAACAAACGTTACTGTATTTTAGATGATTCCAATAATAGAGTACAGTAGTTCTTTTGCAGAAAGAATGGTAGAAACATGATCTTAAATAGCCTAACCTAACCCTATAAAGGAGAATTAAAGAAACAAATACGATCGGGAGCGTATCATAAACTCCAAATTTCACAAACTCCAACGTTTAAAATATTAAATAAACAGAGCGGTTCATAACCTCCAAATTTCATAAGCTCCAAATCTATAACATTCAAATAATCACTGTTTCACAATGTCCAAGTTTCACAAACTCCAACGTTTAAATATTAAATAAACAGAGCGGTTCATAATGTCCAAATTTCATAACCTCCAACAGTACAGTCTGGGCCAGAAGTCTCTCTAGTGGTTGCCACAGTCAGATAGCAGGCACCGTTCGCCAGCGCTCAACTACTGATTATACGTACATTTTAATGATTGAAGAACACTCAGATGTGTGACTCAAATATGTGTTAGCACACAATGTGCAAATCAAATTTACATTTTAGCGAATTTCCCCTATAGGGAATAAGCTATTACCGTAGTACTCAAGGTAAGACCTGGTCCCGGGACCGATTTACTTTTTCGTTTTGAGGTCCCTAGAGACCAAAAACACCATCAGTTATATATATATATATATATTTATATGTGTGTCCCATCAAAAACATTTCTAAATTCGATTACAACAATTTATTCAATTGATCAAGTAAAAGAGGTATTTATATATCAAAGTTATGTCGTGATAACATCTTATGGAAGTGTGGAGTTATCGTATTTACTGCTTTTCAATGCACTGCCAACACATCTAAAAATTGAGTCAAACCCTGTTGTTTTTAAAAAATCACTTCGAAAATTACTGGTGTCCAAGTGTTACTACCGTGTCCGTGATTTTATTGCTGATGGGTAGTCATGGGCATATGTTATGCTTGGTTCAGGAATTGATTACACGTAAATATTGTTTGTTTTAGTAGTTATTTTATAGTTTATAAGACAATCTGTATTTTTTTAAATGTATATTGTCTTAGCCAATGCATTTATGTTAATCTGGCCAAATAAATGACTTGACTTGAATAAAAGTGTTTAGCGTCTTGAAAGGTAACGTGTAATACAAGAAAACGTGGTTCCAGGTTCCGAGGTACCATTATTATATATATGTATATATATATATATACATACATTGATATTTATGTCAAGTCCGTGATGCACAACATTGCGGCAGGAGTGTGCCCAATTAACTTAAAAGTATGTGATTATTTAATTGTGATGTCAATATAATCTTATTTTTGAAATTTTAATGGTTATTATGTTTTGTATATATTTAATTTAAATGAACTTCCCTTATAAACTATCAATCTTATTCGCTGCACTTAATGTCTCGACGGACAAAATGTTATTATAATGGTTTCTTATTTTTTTATTATATGTATGTCCCATTTCTAAACATAATACCATTGACTAAGGAAATACAAGTTTCCCTTGTCTGTGATAATACGTAAGAAGGGTGGGTACAATAGCTAGTATTATTAAAACAAAAAAAAAAGTATAATCCTTGAACGATTTGATGATTATGTAATACAGGCAAGTATAAAAAATAGTGTAAACATATCCTTAATATACAGTAGATATAAAATACATAATTTTATAAAAATATTTATTTTATTCTTATTATTAGCTATAAAATAGTATACAACATCATACAAAAATACTAAATAGTCCAATATATTTTTTCTTTTAATGTTTTAGTTATACTGAGATTTTTGGCGAATAAATAAAACGATGTAAATGGGTTACAGTTAAGAAATGATCGACTGAAAAATAAAAAAGAGCATACAAAAATCATTTAAATGCATCTTAGATCACTATGCTACGTATATTACGGATTAAAAAACAGATCCTCAATATTCAAAGTAAAAACTTATTCTAGACTTTCAACAATTTATTATTACATGGTAAAAAAGAAACACCAGTTTGAGCGTCGTGTTTGTGGGAGAGCGGGATAAAATTTGAAACATTTGCAGTTTTGTGTAAGTTTATAAAGTATTTTGATATACATGCTCATAAAAATAAAAATAAATGTTGATTACAAAATAAGTACGATAGTTTCAAAGTAGAATGGTCAGCTTCATAATCTGGCTGGCTATTGAGTTACAAAAGGATAAAAATGGGCATTTATGAAACATTTTGTAACGCTTTGAAAGACATAACTTTCACTACTATAGAAACTATTTTTTTACAGGATAATGTTTTTGTAATTCCTAAAGGCAGATAATTATCATTTTAGTGGCCTGTGAATGTTATTAATGATACCTTGAATAACAACATCCTTGCAGGGCCCGCTCCATTTCTATGGCATTCCATTTATATTTGGGGGTGACATTTTTAATGGAAAAAAGTTTGCAACGACTGTCATTTAACTTTTGTCCAATATGAACTTTAATATATAACCGTATGTGGAGAGGAGCTAATTAATATTTTAAAAACCACACTAAGAATAATAATGCAGCATTTTTATCATACTGATGATTTCAATTAAGGTTGTTATTGAAAAAAAAAACTCAATTTCTTCAGTGCGCTAATTTTTTTTTCAAACCCTTAATTGTCTACACCTACCCCATCAAGATCCTATATACACCAATCACTCATGACTACCCTACCAAAGGAGTTGTAAATATTGTAGAAACATGCCCCCAGATATTCGAACAATGCATGTACCAGTGTAGAAACGTACGTTGACTGGTTGACTGTTTTAGATTTGTCTTGCAGTATTTTACGCTTAACAACTTAGTATAAATACTTAATTAATACAATACTTAACGGATGTAGTCCTTCACGAATCCTGTAAATAATAAGTAACGCACAAAAATTACTTAAACAGTAAATAATTTAAAGTTGCACTTTCATAGCCTGTAAAATAAAAATACAAGTTGTCCGATGAAAATATATTTCTGCTGAAACAAAATAAAACACATATTAAATCCAAAATGATGTCACAGCATACACTTACTGATAGAAAATTATTAAAACGAAACATAATAAATATACGTATGAAAACTAGTCCTTACCAAAAGGATTCCAAAGAGTACAGGTAATGTTTGTTCCATGGCAATGAAAAGACCATGAACAACTGAAGGCAGATCGGGGTGAATATAATTTTGCTGTCACATCAAGATACTGATAAATTACAACTAATTGCCTTTAAGTGGCACGATGTACCTAACTCAAATATGACTTGCGCAGTTGGAAGTAATAACTCACAAGTTTACCATATGTGAAATATCGATGTAAAAACAGTAATTTTACTTTGACGCAAACCGTTTATTTAACGGTGGTATGTGGTTTCAAACTTGAAAAACAAGTCAATTAACATAGTTCATACTTTTTTCAAAGTTATTTCACATTTAGAACCACAGGTCATGCAAAATATTTAGTAGTAACATCATACAAATAAAAGCATCAAACTATTTAAAGTTTAATTAAAAGCTTTTTACTTTAAAATATTTATAATAATATCGGGTAAATGGGTGTAAATTAAGTCTGGCACACATTTTTTATCTTTTTTTCTATAGTAGATAGAAGAAATCAATTTGCGGGAATGATTAATAACAAATGTTAGGCACTTTTTACAAATTTTGAAAATAAAAATTCCCTTAAGGGCAAGGGGGGGTGGGGGGTAACTAAAAATTTTCAAATGACAACCCCCATCTTGTGACCCCTCATTTTAAAGGTCATCGGAAGACAAATCCAAAGATGTGTCTAAAAATTTTTTTTTTGCACCCTATCCAAGATGGCGGTTTAAAATGTACTTAGGGTTCAATGGGTAAATTAGGTATGGCACACATTTCTTATCTTTTTTACTCTTTGTAGATAGAAGGAATTAATTTGCGGGACTGAGTAAGAACAAATGTTTGGCACTTTTTCATAATTTTGAAAAAAAATCCCCTTAAGGGTAAGGTGGGGGTGGGGGGTAACTAAAAATTTTCAAATGACAACCCCCATCTTGTGACCACTCATTTTCAAGGTATTTGGAAGACAAATTTAACGATGTGTCTGAAAAAATTTTTTTTGCATCCTGTCCAAGATGGCGGCTTTAAATGTGCTTGGGGTTAAACGGGTGGGGTCTGGAACACAATTTTATCTTTTTTGCCATTAATAGATAGAACTTATCCACTCGTGGGACTGAGCCAAAATCAGGCACCTTTTTATTTATTTGAAAAAATCCCCTAATGGTAAGGGGGGGGGGGGCAACTAAAAATTTTCAAAAGACAACCCCCATCTTGTGACCCCTCATTTTAAAGGTATTTGGAAGACAACTTGTTAATATTCACAAATGCTCAAACTGATGCCCAAGAGAAACTTGACAGAGCCCCAACCGATTGTAAAATTCGTTTACCACCCTGGACAGCGTTTCTTCATTAATAGATCGTGCTTCCATTATTATTCTTGCTGTGAGATCCTGGATGTTTTCTGGGCGGTTAACAAATACTCTACTTTTTAGGTGGCCCCACAAAAAGTAGTCTAACGGCGTCAAGTCGGGTGATCTGGCAGGCCATTCAATAGCTCCCCGCCTCCCTATCCAACGATCTGGAAAAACTTCGTCCAAGTAATTTCGGACTTCAGCATTATAGTGAGGTGGTGCGCCATCTTGCTGAAACCAAATGTTCTCGTTGACAACATTTTCTTCGTCTTCCGGAGGAAACTCATGGGCAATGGCAGGTACTATCGACTCTCGCAGTAACTCCAGATAACGGTTTCCGTTTAGATTTCCTTCGATCACGAATGGCCCTATTAATTTGGTCCCGACAATGCCTGCCCAAACATTGACTTTTTGGGGATTTTGAGTATGGCATTCTTGAGCCCAATGAGGATTTTCAGGAGACCAATACCTATAGTTTTGTCTGTTCACGTGACCATGAAGACTAAATGAAGCCTCATCTGAAAATACAATTCTATTTTTGAACATTGGATCCAAAGTACACCGTTGCATCATGAGTTCACAGAATTCAATCCTGCGGTCAAAATCGTCCTCGTTCAATTCATGTATTAACTGAACCTTAAAAGGATGAAACTTCTCGGCTTTAAGGGCTTTGTGGACCGACATGTGACTTATCCCAAAGTCATTTCCAATCCTACGTGTCGATGTGTGATGATTTTCTTCAACGCTAAGAAGTATATTCAGTCTAGTTTCTTCAGTGAGTACAGATTTTGGCCTACCACTTCTTGGTTTACTTGCAACATCCCCCGTTTCAGCAAACTTATTACATATCTTAGATACTGTAGCTCGATTAATTTGGCGATCAGGGTACAAGTTGTTAAAAATATCACACGCTTCAAGTTGAGTCCGTTTTTTATCTCCATAGCCAACAATGACAAGTATTTCTATCTTCTGTTTTGTTGTTAACAACGCCATGTTAAATAAAAATAATAAAAGATGTACTTACGACTACTCCAAAGAAACTACCTAAACAGACTGAAGGGGAATAAGGAAAAACTGATAAGATTGTTACCTGATTAGCCTGCAGTCTTAAGAAAGAGGATAGGAATTCCAAGTGAGTGCAACGTCCAAACCTGGAATCTCAATTATCAGATTTATTTACTAAGTGATAAGAGCTACATAAGTTTGTTTATTGCAGTTCGTCCTATTGTCCAAGTTTTTCTGATATAAACTATCAAATCTATTATAACTTTATTTTTGGTAAAAAAAAAATAAAAATGTGTTTCAGACGTAATTTACTTGTTCAACCCTATGCACATTTTAAGCCGCCATATTGGACAGGGTGCTTAAAAAACATTTTTAGACACATTGTTAAATTGGTCTCTCAAATACCTTTAAAATGAGAGGTCACAAGATGGGGGTTGTCATTTGAAAATTTTTAGTTGCCCCCCCCCCTTACCATTAGGGGATTTTTTCAAATAAATAAAAAGGTGCCTAATTTTGGCTCAGTCCCACGAGTGGATAAGTTCTATCTATTAATGGCAAAAAAGATAAAATTGTGTTCCAAACCCCACCCGTTTAACCCCAAGCACATTTAAAGCCGCCATCTTGGACAGGATGCAAAAAAAATTTTTTCAGACACATCGTTAAATTTGTCTTCCAAATACCTTGAAAATGAGTGGTCACAAGATGGGGGTTGTTATTTGAAAATTTTTAGTTACCCCCCACCCCCACCTTACCCTTAAGGGGATTTTTTTTCAAAATTATGAAAAAGTGTCAAACATTTGTTCTTACTCAGTCCCGCAAATTAATTCCTTCTATCTACAAAGAGTAAAAAAGATAAGAAATGTGTGCCATACCTAATTTACCCATTGAACCCTAAGTACATTTTAAACCGCCATCTTGGATAGGGTGCAAAAAAAAAATTTTTTAGACACATCTTTGGATTTGTCTTCCAATGACCTTTAAAATGAGGGGTCACAAGATGGGGGTTGTCATTTGAAAATTTTTAGTTACCCCCCACCCCCCCTTGCCCTTAAGGGAATTTTTATTTTCAAAATTTGTAAAAAGTGCCTAACATTTGTTATTAATCATTCCCGCAAATTGATTTCTTCTATCTACTATAGAAAAAAAGATAAAAAATGTGTGCCAGACTTAATTTACACCCGTATACAGGGTGACCGTTAAGTCTTAGGACGACTTTATAACTTTTAAACGACAAACGATATCACAACCACATTTGGTATACCGTTACTGGAAATTGTAAGCTACTTTTCTGTGTACTTGGTGGTCGGATATCACCTTTGGGGGACGGCCCGTCGGGGGTCAGAAGAAAATCTTTAGTGACAGCCTATGTTGAGTTGTACATCATTTTAAAGGTCTACTTCAACTGAAAACAATGCCGCAAACCGCACTTCAAAAGGTTGATCCTGCGCAAAATGGCAGATGTTCAAAGATTTTCAAAATTAGCCAATTTCTTTAAATTAAAACACTTTTTTAAATCTTTAAACAACTGTCATTTTTTAACGGATGGTCCTTTTGAAGTACGGTTTGCGGCATTGTATTCTACTAATAAATAGCTTTAATTTGATGTGCATATCAACCTATGCTTCCATTCAAGATTTACTTCCGACTCCTTGTGGGCCGTCGCCCTGAAGAGTTATTTGGATCACTGAATGTAAAGTTATGGGGATCATTTTAAAGGGAATTTTAAGCAAAGAAGAATGCCGCAAACCGTACTTTAAAAGGTTGAACCTGCGCAAAATGACAGTTGTTTAAAGATTTAAAAAAGTGTTTTAATTTTAAAGAAATTTGCGCAGGTTCAACCTTTTAAAGTACGGTTTGCGGCATTCTTCTTTGCTTAAAATTCCCTTTAAAATGATCCCCATAACTTTACATTCAGTGATCCAAATAACTCTTCAGGGCGACGGCCCACAAGGAGTCGGAAGTAAATCTTGAATGGAAGCATAGGTTGATATGCACATCAAATTAAAGCTATTTATTAGTAGAATACAATGCCGCAAACCGTACTTCAAAAGGACCATCCGTTAAAAAATGACAGTTGTTTAAAGATTTAAAAAAAGTGTTTTAATTTAAAGAAATTGGCTAATTTTGAAAATCTTTGAACATCTGCCATTTTGCGCAGGATCAACCTTTTGAAGTGCGGTTTGCGGCATTGTTTTCAGTTGAAGTAGACCTTTAATGATGTACAACTCAACATAGGCTGTCATTAAAGATTTTCTTCTGACCCCCGACGGGCCGTCCCCCAAAGGTGATATCCGACCACCATGTACATAAAAAAGTAGCTTACATTTTCCAGTAACGGTATACCAAATGTGGTTGTGATATCGTTTGTCGTTTAAAAGTTATAAAGTCGTCCTAAGACTTAACGGTCACCCTGTATAATGTAACGTGTTTGGCAATGTTGTACGAGTATTCTGATAGTATTGTTATTGAAACTAGGGTCAGCTGCCTTTGACCATTAAGCTGTTAATGGTCCTGCCTGGCTAATATAACAGCTGATCTTAGTCGAACCGGTCTAGTGGTTAGAGTGCGTAATTTTTGTCTCCGAGGTTCTGGGTTCAAATCCTGCAAAATCACCATGAATTTGATCTAAGTGATCATTCCGAAAACCCTAGGTCTAGCCTGAAGTAATGAGAAAATAATCCCGAGCTAGTGTATAGCATCCTATTCAAAAAATTATATTTAACATATATATTTAATTTAGTGGCCGAAGGTATATTAAATATTAAATTTGTCGATAAAACTTGGACATAACAAATCATATTTATTAGATACCATGATGTTGTCGA